GCCCCTTGCTTGTCCTTGAACATGTCATGAGTATGTTCCCCTTTAGAAATCTTTGTGTTTGTGGTCTCACCAGATATTCTTGTTACTTTCTCCCTAACTTCTTCCTTTGTTCAAATATCACCAAATATTAGAAGACATTCTGTGGCTACTTTTATAAAATAACTAATACCACTACTGCCACTTGGCACTCTTAACTCCTTATGCTGGCTCTTTTTTCTCCATAGCCATTACCACTACCTGATGTACTATTTGTACTTTTGTTTATTGTGTGACTTTCTCCACTCCATGAGAACATGAGTTCCCCAAGGGCCAACATTTTCCTTGTCACAACCATGTTACTAGCACTGAGAATGCTGGCTATGGTGTAGTCAGGCTCAAAAGCAACAGCAGATCGAGTGAATTAATGTAACATCTATAGCTGCGGAAGGCCAGGTTTTCTAGCAAATAGAGAAAGCCAGTCTGCAATAAGAGAGACCAAAGCCAGCATGCTGTGTGGAGCAGACACCAGGGGAAAGATGGGTGCTGGCTGAGCTTGAGTCCCCGATAGCTCCTGGTGCTCAGGTGCTTTCCTGATCTCCTGAAGTTTGGTGGCTCAATCCTCCCGTGGAGTCTATGGACTTTTGTGTTTAAGTGCATTGAGTTTTTGTATCTACCAGGGTCCTAATAAGTACACCAAGGACATATACACAGAAGAAGTTATAGTGAGAGCCAGAATCCAGGTCTTGGATTTATTTTATTTTTTTTAATTAAATCTTTATTGTTCAGATTATTACAGTTGTTCCTCTTTTTTCCCCCATAACTCCCCTCCACCCGGTTCTCACCCCACCCTCTGCCCTTACCCCGCCCCCCCCCCCCGCCCACTGTCCTCATCCATAGGTGTACGATTTTTGTCCAGTCTCTTCCCGCACCCCCCATACCCCTTCCCCCCCGAGAATAATCAGTCCACTCCCTTTCTATGCCCCCGATTCTATTATATTCACCAGTTTATTCTGTTCATCAGATTATTTATTCACTTGATTTTTAGATTCACTTGTTGATAGATGTGTATTTGTTGTTCATAATTTGTATCTTTACCTTTTTCTTCTTCTTCCTCTTCTTAAAGGATACCTTTCAGCATTTCATATAATACTGGTTTGGTGATATTGAACTCCTTTAGCTTTTTCTTATTTGTGAAGCTCTTTATCTGACCTTCAATTCTGAATGATAGCTTTGCTGGGTAAAGTAATCTTGGTTGTAGGTTCTTAGTATTCATCACTTTGAATATTTCTTGCCACTCCCTTCTGGCCTGCATAGTTTCTGTTGAGAAATCAGCTGACAGTCGTATGGGTACTCCCTTGTAGGTAACTGACTGTTTTTCTCTTGCTGCTTTTAAGATTCTCTCTTTGTCTTTTGCTCTTGGCATTTTAATTATGATGTGTCTTGGTGTGGTTGTCTTTGGATTCCTTTTGTTTGGGGTTCTCTGCACTTCCTGGAGTTGTAAGTCTATTTCTTTCACCAGGTAGAGGAAGTTTTCTGTCATGATTTCTTCAAATAGGTATTCATATCTTGCTCTCTCTCATCTTCTGGCACCCCTATATTCGGATGTTGGTACGCTTGAAGTTGTCCCAGAGGCTCCTTACACTATCTTCATATTTTTGGATTAATTTTTCTTTTTGTTTTTCCGGTTGGGTTTTTTTGCTTCTTCGTATTTCAAATCTTTGACTTGATTCTTGCGATCCTCTAGTCTGCTGTTGGAACTCTGTAAAATATTCTTTATTTCATTCAGTGTATGCTTAATTTCTAGTTGGTCCTTTTCCATAACCTCGAGGGTCTCACTAGATTTCTTGAGGGTCTCACGAAATTTATTGGTGGTTTCTAGAAAATTCTTGAAAAACCTTATAACCATGGTTTTGAACTCTATATCCAGTGGTTTGCTTTCCTTCATTTCTGCCATTTGTGACCTGTTTCTTTGTCTCCACATTTTTTAGGCTTCCCTGTGTTGATAGAGTGGCTTTGTGTGCTAGGTGTCCTATAGGGCCCAGTGGTTCAGCCTCCCCAATTACCTGAGGTGGACATGCTTGGTGCACCCCTTTGTGGGCTTTGTGCACAGTCTTATTGTAGTTAAGCCTTGATTGTTGTAGGTATCACTGGGAGGAATTGACCTCCAGGCCAATTGGCTGTGAGAATCAGCTATGTCATCAGTGAGAGAACTTCTGTGCTGGAGACACCCTTCTGGGGCAAGACTTGCTTCAGTGGGGCTTTGGTGCTAACTGAGTCTGCCCCCTGAGTGTTTCCCTTATGGATCTAAGGCATTGTAATCTGGATGGTCCCACTCTGACCACTGGGTACACTGGCTCTTGGATCTCTAAGGAGGTGCTAATTTAGCTTCTTCCTGAGGCTACCCAGCAGGAGCTATGGAGAGATCTGCAAATTCTTCTTCTTTGTTTGGGATTTGGAGGTGCCTAGATGAGGCCCAGCTATGAAGCAATGCAAGCTTCTGTGGGGTCTTGGGCCTTCTTTTGGAAGTTCTGGGTCTCTGCCCCAGCTGCAGTTTGTTAGGTAATTTCAGATTGCAAAGGGCCAGACCATGTATATGCAAAAGCCTCTGCTAGCAGCTTGGTTGGGGCGTGGTCTCAGGGAATCAACATGGTGGAGCAAACAGCTATGGCTGCTCCTCAGCCCTGCCCTAAGAGGCCCCAGGTCTCAGTGTCCCGCAGTAATTGCTGCAAGCACCTTTGAGAGAAAGATGCCCTCGAGTTCTGCCCGCTGCCAGACAGTCCAGTTTCTCCCCCGTATGAGTCTGGGTCCCCAGAGATTCGCCCAGAACTGGAGTTCAGAGCACTTGGGAGCTTGTATCTCCCTACCGATAGTAAACAACAACCGTGTCCTCAGTTGCCAGCCATTTCCACGTGCGCCTCCGTACCTCTGCACTTTACTTCCGCACCTCCTCTGAGTCTCAGTGTGCTTTTCTCTTTCCTTCTAGTTGTAGGATTTCCACTCAGCCAGCCTTCCTGTGGTTCTGGATGATGTCCGTTTTGTCTTTTAGTTGTATTTTTGAATTTGTTGTGGGAGGCAGCAATTTCCGGTGTTTACCTATGCCACCATCTTGGTTTCTCCAACCTTGGATTTTTTGAAGTATATTTTTATTGATTTCAGAAAGGGAGGGAAAGGAAGAGAGAGATAGAAACATCAGTGTGAGAGAGAATCATTGACCTGATGCCTCTTGCAGGCTCCTTACTAGTATCGAGCCCACAACCCCAGGCCTGTGCCCTGATTGGGAATCGAACCATGGCCTCCTGGTTCACAGGTTGACATACAGGTTTAGGCACATCAGCCAGGTCAGGTGTTTCTGCAGTTCAATGACCTTATGTGATTACAAGGCCTGAAAATGTATGTGCCAAAATCCACTTGAAACAAAGTCACAGAGGGCATCAAAGGTGAATGATGTTGTTTCATTTACTAATTACCTGCTTTATACCTGTCAGAGGGTTTAATCAATCTCCTTAATAAATATATATTTGTAGAATCCAGAAAGGAATAAAGAACACATGACCTTTGAGTGCCTCACTTCATGATGATATTAAGAACAGAGTTTTAAAGAAAATGATTGCACAAAGGACAGGAGAAATCCAACAATGTTAGGTTAGAATGAATGTTAAACTTTATCCACCCAACGAAATCAGAGAAATGATATGATCTACCCAAGGTAACTTGGTTAGGCGTAGAGTTAGGTTTAGAACTAGAATCCTAATTCCCAAGTCTGTCTGTTCCTCAATCCAGGCTCTTTATACTGAAAAAGATGCTTAATTCTTCTTCTTTTTTTTTTTGCCCTTTCATTCCTGTTGTGCTTTCTGGGGTTATATATAGCTACTAGTGGCCCAGTGCATGAAAGTTGTGCACATTAAAAGGGAATTAATTAGAGGAAATATTTTAATATTGCTATTTGCCCTTTCTCTATAATAGAAGTGTGAGAGTTGAAAGGTACTTAGTAAAATGTATATGAAAATAATATATAAATTTATTAATAAATAAACAGTAACAAAAGTATAGAACAACAGAGGCATATATAAAAACAACAAAAACGAAATGAAAAACAACAAAAACATGATATGAAAACGACAAAAACATATGAAAACAACAAAAACATGATATAAAAACAACAGTGATGCAAACAATGACTGATACAGTGATTAAACTTATTCTAATATCTCCCTGTACACCACATTAAGAGTGAAAACACTTTCAGAGTGCTTGACTAATTTCCCTTGTGATGAAGTATTTAGGACTTTAACTTTAACGCCACATGCTCTTCGAACTCGAGAGAAAGCAAACATTTAACTGACCATGTGCAAAAACGGGTTCAGGTAGGAATATCCATACTGTCTCTAGAGTTTGTCCTTGTGATTTATTAATAGTCATTGCAAATGCTGGCATCACGGGAAACTGTCATCGAATTAATTTAAATGGGAGACCAGTGTCAGATGAAGACAAATCAATTCTTGGAATCAGAACAACCTCTCCCTCTGCAGATCCTGTTAATACTTCACCTTCGATAATCTTAGGTCATAATCTTTTGATAATAAATCTGGTACCATTACAAAGACCCCATTTACTATTGAGATTTCTCAATAGCATGATGATTGAACCCACTTTCAATTTTAATTTATGACACAGCATTCCCGAAGGAGTAATACTATTAAGAAATTCCATGGGAAAATTTTCTTTTTCAGCATCATCTGTGGAATCAATGGAATCATCACTCAAATATGTGTGAAAATCTCCACCAAGTATATCCAAAATTTCTTCATTTAATTTTTGAACGTGCTCATTTTTTGGACAAAGAATTGCATGTTTAGATATATTTTTAATATTATCTATAGATATACTATTTCCAAAGGTAGCTTCAATAATAGATCCATTACAAATCATTTCACAGGGGATTTCAGTAATATCCATTCCTAAATGAAGATTGCTATCAAGTTTGCCATCTCCAAGTTTTACTAACCATTCATCATAAGCATAATCCTCTGATCTCATATTTGTTGTAAGAGACAACTTTCTGAAACATCCCCAAACAGTAAGTACTTTAAGCTCGTTTGTACTATGGCCAATCGCATAGCATGTGATACAATACTGAGACGTTGTCGAAAATCCCCTCCAAGAAGGAGAACTTTCCCACCAAATACAACATTCAAATTCATAATTTCTCTTAGTAATCTGTCTATGGCATTTATAGCATGACTGGATGCCATGGTGCATTCATCAATAATGAGAAGTTGGGCCTTTTTAATAGTTTTAGCAATTTCACTGTTTATATTGAGTCTAGCAATTGAAGTTTCATTGAATGGAATCGGTAATTTATGTTGGGAATGAAAGGTTCTTCCACCGAGAAGTGAATTTGCAGCAATCCCTGTAGATGCTGTGGATAAAACAGTACCAGCACAACCTCTAATATAATGTATTAAAACTTTATAAAGATATGCCTCCACACTGTGAGGGCGGGTTCCTCCCTCAAACCTCACCCTCACGGGGAAACAGCTCAGGGAGGGCGCAACCCTTGCCAAGGCGACCCAGGACTCAGTGCCTCCACACTCTGAGGGTGGGTTCCTGCCTGAAACCTTGTCCTCGCCAGAAACAGCTCAGGGAGTGCACAGCCATTGCCAAGGTGACCCCTGCAGGACTGACTGCCTTCTGGTTGGTAAAGCCTCGGTCGTGATGGGTGTTATACCCAGGGTTTTTATATAAATAGATGTAAACTCTATTAATAATCTCTCCACCAATAAATTGTGGATAATGGTATTTAGTTTCCTACAATGAGTGTAGTGATATATTTTAAATGAATTGAGGGTAACAGAAGACTATAATATGGAAGGCAATCTCACACAAGCTGTGACTGAAATATAAGTCAGTATATAAGTCAGTCCAAATAGCAATTTATGGGCTTACTCATGTGAAAGAATAATAATTTTAGAATATGCCACAAAGACAGGTTTAAGATAATCATGAGTAGACTTTTTTTGTATTTCTATTTTAGAATGAAATTATCTCAGAGGTAAATTATACTTTGTAGTATTTGTCCAGAACTATGGAAAAAGGTATAAATGAAATTAAAGTGTTTTTTGGGTTTTTTTTTCAAATTTGGAAGATCCACATCAGGATGCTGGCAAGGAAATGTGTCACCTCCAATTATTATGTCCTTTTTTTAGAATTGAAATCATGAGAGAAGAAGAAACTAATTGGCCCATTCTGGGATACATCTTATCTACTGACCAGAGGAGAGCACGGCATATTCTCTGCAATACATAAATGGAGCTGTATTTATCAAAATTAGAGGATATTCATGCTGGAAAGGGAGAAGTAACAGGTGTCCACTACTGTCCCTTAAATTTGTCCCTTTGCCCTTTCCCCCATGTTATCATAATGTGCTGAGAAATAGCAGGTGTAGCACAAAGGGACATGGACTTGAATTTTAAGGCTCCCTAATCTTGAACAAGTCATCTGTAACCTTTTTGTGCCCTAGTTTTCTCATTTGTAAAACTAGAGACCTTTAACATGTTGCAAAAATTTCTTCCGGCTTCACGTAGTTAAGAATTTCTGGTGCAAACTTGGGTGCTGTCCATAGTACTGACAATTTAAGGTGAAATCGTTATAACTGTAATTTGAAAGCTTTATTATGATAAATAGCCCAAATTAGAGTTTTAGTCTGGTTAAATACCAAGATTCTGAAGACAGGACTTAATTAGCTACCCAGGTTGGGGTGATAGGGAACTGTGGAAGAAATCTCGGACTTGTAATTAAGCGATATAGTGCAGTGCTCATCTGTTTTGATCTATCTGACATTCATTTACTCTTCTTTAGTTGACAGGACCCTGAAGATTTTCCTTTCGGTCAATCAGTCATCCTCCATCAGTCCATATGATTCCAATAGAGTTGACTTCACCCCCGATGTCCCCTCCATTTACTCCTCATTTTTGCTGTGAGGGATTGTAGTTCTGTAAAAGATCCCAGATGAGAGCTCTGAGGAGTTGGCTTTAGTGTCCAGCACCAGGTAGGGAAAGCTTTGCATCTTTGGAGCACAAATAGGACAGAAACAGTGAAAGATCACATACAATGGAGCCAGGGAAAAGCAGGACCTGGACATGGAGTAAGCTAGTTTCAGGTGCTGAACAGAGGGCTGCATTTAGGAGGCTGACTGCTTCCCATAAACCCCAACAAAAGAAAAGGTGAAGCCACCTGGGTCTCTGGGAAGTCATTCATTGGAGAGAAAATTTTAGCATCTCTTCCAGCAGATGAGCAGTACTTAGAGTCAAAGACCAGTCTTGGAGCAAAGAGAGGTTCAGGAAGGGGGAGATCAGTGATAACATTTGAGTAAAAATGAAGAGTTTAATTTCAGTTCAACAGCCGAGATTCTGGTGGGAACGAGAGACATAAACGTACAGTACTATTAAGCAAATGGAATGACATGGATGAACACATTGGGTGGTGGTGTGCTGGCGAGACTGTTCAGGGACAACTTCCTGGTGGAAATAAGATCTGAGCCATCTTAAAAGAAATATAAGAGTTATGGGAGAGAAGTTCATTGCAAGCCTGAGGTACAACATGAGCAAGGAGCAAAGGTAGCAGAGTGACAATAAGTGGGCATGTTTGCGAGAATCACCAGGTGTGTCTGTCAGATCAGAAGCTGTTCAGAGCCTAAGCCCAAGGAAAGGAGAAGATAGTAAGTGAGCTGGAGAAGGAAGCAGTGCCCACATCATGAAAGGCCTTTGGTATCTTGAGACAGAATTTGGTCATTTTCCTGTAGATCAGAGCTCACAAGTTGGTAAACCATGAGCTAGGCATGACCCTCATATATTTTATTTATTTATACAGTATTATTTTAAAAATTGAAATATTGCCCTGACTGGTTTGGCTCAGTGGATAGAGCGCGGGCCTGCAGACTCAAGGGTCCAGGTTCGATTCCGGTCAAGGGCATGTACCTTGGTTGCGGGCACATACTCAGTGGGGAGTGTGCAGGAGGCAGCTGATCGATGTTTCTCTCTCATCGATGTTTCTAACTCTCTATCCCTCTCCCTTCCTCTCTGTAAAAAATCAATAAAATATATATATTAAAAATTGAAATATCATTTAACAATCAGGAGGTTTCACATATTAAAAAAATCTAGATTTCTGATCTTTCTAGAAAAAAATGAGATCTGACAATGCTGAGCCTGCACGCTGATATGGTGAAAATTACCCAGAAATAAATACTAGCTGGCTGATTGGGGCATGTGCATTTCCAGTTCTCCTCAGCCCCCAGTACTCTCCCCTGCTTCCTCAACCAGCACCCAGCTTCTCTCTTTTTATCTGCATGACCCTTGTAGAAAAGAAAGAACCTGAGAAGGCTTTAGATATGAGCATACACAGTGTGAGTTGCCCCCCAAATACTCTATATTCATGAGTAGGTCATTTAGTACCGCTGGTCTTTAGTTTCCTCATCTCTTAAATCCAGACTAGTTATTTCCAAGGTCCCGACCTGCTCTATCACGCTATGATTCTATTATTAACAGTGATGAAAAATACTCTACTACTGTACATTTTTCAAAGCTGTTATACTTTTTTCAAAGTCCCTATGAGATAAACACTGTGTTTCTGATTGAACAGATGAGTAAACTGAGGTCCACAGAGACTAAGAAACAAATCCTGTGCCCTTTCTCCCACACTGCAATATACTGTAAGGCTATGCCTGAATTTCCCTGTTTTTTCATATTCCCCAGAGTTGGCACATAATGATTAAAATAACAAAATGCAACCAACTAGCATCTATGAGATAAAAATCCAAGGGAACAGGTCAGATAAACAATAAGTAGCCTTATATATATTTTAAATCCTCATGTTTTTGGTGAGATATTTTGGCATCCTGGGAGGAAGGAGCTAAATCAGAGCTCATAAGAAGGTTTTTATTCAATTCTTTTCAGGTAGTTTATCCAAGCATAAAATCTTTAAAGCAATTTTGTAATAAAAACTGACCGCAATTTTTAATCCTCAGATGCAGCAAAGCCTGGACTAGAGTGAGAGGGTGTATTTGCAGGGAATGCAGATGTTACTGGTTCCATATACACCAGGGCTTTGTCGTCTTATGAGTTCATCTGAAGGGAGAGGAAGCCAGACTTCTAATGTTGGAATGTCTTGCTTTCTTTATGATAACTGACAAAATGATTGGAATACCAGACTTGTGAAGTCATGTCCAGCAGCCAGATGTTTTGCTTTACACAGGTGAATTTGAAGTTACTGGAAAGAAAAGGCTAATGGAATTGCTAAGTTTGGCTTAATGATACACATATGGCAAATAGATTAAAGTCAAGAGCTCATCATTCCTGTTCATTCAAGAAAAATGTGTGAACAGGAAGATAATTGAGATAATGATGCTGCCCTGGCCAGTGTGTTCAGTGGTTAGAGTGTCAGTCCACAATCCGAAGGGTCTTGGGTTCAGTTCCCAGTCAAGGGCACGCAGCTGGGTTGCAGGTTCAATCTTGGGCTCCTACTGGGGCACTTGCAGGGAGCAACCAATCTATGTGTCTCTCTCACATCAATGTTTCTCTCTCTCTCTGTTTCTCTCTCTCTGTTTCTCTCTCTCCCCCTCCCTTCCTCCCTTCTACTCTCTCTCTCTAAAAAAGGAAAAAATGTCTTCCAGTGAGGATTAAAAAAAAAAAAAAGATAATGATGCTAACCAAGACAGAATGGCAAAGGGAAAACTTAGCATGTGATTACATATCACCTCTGATGAGGGAACAATAGGGCATTCCTTAGGTCTCTTTATTATTGTGAAGCATAGTAATTATTAGGATGCTCTTGTGAATCAACAGAAGTGGTATGTATTATTTTGCAGGAGAGTCTTTGTATGCTTGAGATGCTGATTGATGGAAGGGCATCCTGAGTTGAGTAAGAAAACCCAAGATCACATTTCAAACAATCAGTTCCCATCAGTTTCTTCTGGTCATCATCCAATGATCACCCACCAGATCAAGAGAGTTCTCTTCGTTCTCCCATGGTCCTATCCCTTAACCCTTTCTAGAGTTCCTCTGTGGTGAATCACCAGCACCTCATACAGCTTCAGGGAGTCAAGTCTCCTCGACTCTTTGTGGAGAAGCTTTGGGTAGAACCTCTACAGCCATACAACAGACAGGAAGGGACACACATAGCAGAACTATAGAGTGTCAGCCTGAGATGGATTAACATAAACCAGCTTCTTTGAACCTACTTCTTTGAACCCAGCTATTTCCTGTTGCACTTAGGAAAAACAAGGACCTTTCTGATGAGTTCCCAGGGCAATCCAGAGTTTAGGTCAAATCTGCTTTCTTTGCAATCACTTGACATATAAGCTTATTATTCCTTTCCCTGGACCTCACATTCACTTCTTGAAGTTGTCTCTAGAAACATGTTTGGCAAATAAGTTTTCTAAACAGCGTCCTTTTGATTCCTTTAATCCCTTCTTACCCCCCTTTTCAACCCTGGTTATTTCCTTCTCCACCATTGCTCTCAGTTTAGTCTGTTTAACAGTTGGGCAACACTTCTTTCCTTTGACCTTTCTCTCTGATTTTAAGAACCCTGCATCTTCAATGTTTATTTTTCTTCTAACTTATCATGAATGAGAATTAACTTTTATGGGAGAGACCAAACTTCTCGTCAAGTTAGAAAAGTTAATTAGTATTTCGACACATCCCTCTCTGCTCTAACATGCAGATTTGATAGATAAAACATGAAAAAAGAAAACAAATAACATGAAATGGAATCTTCTGTTATTGCAGCTCTCATAAATTAAATAGCAACATTTTATTAGGTTAAACATTGGTTATATATTGATTCAGTTGACTAAAGATATAAGATAAATATTCCTGTATGTCAGAAATGAACAAACAGTATAGGTGGTGAGTGGGCTGGAGTTATAGGCTTGCTGAGCTCTGGGTCTGGAAGCAGGCAGTAACAGTCAGGAGTTTGGCTCTTTCAGGTAACAGGGACTCAAAAATGCTCCATGGGAGTTGGAGAATTGAACACGGGATTGTGATTTGAAGCCAGGTGCTGGAATGCACTCAATGTCCCATAAAAGACGATTAGGAGGAAAAAAACCTGCTTCTAACTAATACTTGGAGCTGTGCATCCTGGCACATGCCTGATTTGGACACAGGCCCAATGGTTTGGCCAGCAGCTGAGCCAAGCGGCTTGCTGACTCAGTGACGTGATGGGCAATGCTCCAGTTATCACCACAGGGTATCTCTAAGCTATTCTTATGAGGTTGTGTTCTTCATTGGGTTCTGGGGCACCAAGTAGAGGCAACTTCAAAACTCTTAGAAAGAGAGACGGCAAAGAGGAATCTAATGGTAGGAAAGACCTGAATTCACTATAAATGAGATTGATTCATTCTTTAATTTAATTGCATTAATTTACCTGACAAAAATTTTAAGATATTCAAGGAGAAAAAGGAAGACATAACATTATTGAAAGTAAAAAATTGTATGACAAAAGTAATAGAAATGAAACGTGAAGTGAAAAAGGATAAATTGGAAATTCTGGAAAAATAGAAAAAAAAGTCTTTGAAATATAAAATTTTATCCTTGTAGGGAGAACTAATGAATTGGAAGATAGTACTAAAGAATTCACACTCAGAATGCAGAGAGACAAAGGGATAAAAAAGATGAAAGCATGTTGAAGAGACAATAGATTGAGCTTGAGAGGGACCAATATTGACCATTGAGTACATTTTCCCCCCCACATTAGACCCCTGTATATAATTCTTCAAAGTAGGCCAGACAGTGCTATGTCTAATGAAAATCTACATATGTTAGAGGGTTGAACAAAACATGCAAGAAAGTGATAAACACCAAATTCAAGATAGTCTGTTGTTTCTGAAGTAGGACTGGGGTTGGGTAAAAAACTTCACACTGCCCCACTATCTCACAATCTATTTGGCTCGTTTCACTTCCTTAGAAACATGAGCATTGGTCTCCTTGTCATCAGAACTCCCTGTTGTTGATTATGGGGTGGACTGGTCCAGAGTCAGATTGTTTGGGGTCATATCCTGTCTCTTCAACTACTAGCTGAGTGACTTAAGGCAAGTTGCCAAAACTCTCTGTGCATGCCTCAGTTTCCTTACCTGTAAAACAGGTCTCATCATGATGCCTACTTCATGGAGGTACTTGAGTAAATGAAAGCAATTATTTATACAGACACACAACTAAAATATTTAGAAAATATAGATATGTAAAAAGAATAAAACAATCCCATCTAAATCATATTAATGTCTTGCTGGAGAAACTTGTAGTTTTCTTTGTGGATGTGCATATAAATATACCCTAATAAATCCAAGCCCCTCATACAGTTTTGGGGCCAGCAAGCAAAATTAGTATTTAAAGAACTCAAATTCTTTATTTGCTACTATATTTCTATAGTAAGTTTTTACAACTCTTTCCTCTTCTATCCGATTTCCTCCCACCTTGGTGCTGTTCTCACACCAAAAAACTCTTTCTCTCCCCCACCTCAAGATCCTTTTCTCTATAGTTCAGCACTTTATTATATACATGTAGTTATCCTTGAGATGGAAGTCTTTTTCTCTTTAGTTCCATCTTTCTCCATTATTCTAATTACATATGACAAAACTCAAAGAATTTGAGAAAAACAGAACTCTTCTTAAAGCAAGATGTCATGGATGGTAATCGTATAGGTAGCTTGAGGGTCATGGCATCAGTGACATTGGGAACTGGGGCAGACAAAGACTGAGTTCGCTTTGGAGGTGGAGGGAGGAAGAATGTGAACTTTATGAGGTTACAATTTTTACTGTATTTCCTATTAGCATGAGAATATAGTTTATATTAATTTAAAACCAACTTTTAAACTTAA